CCGTCTTCGGGGCCGCTTTCCCCGGGGGGCTCGGGGGTCTCGATGGGCTCGGGGGGGGGCTCCGGTGATTCCCGGGGGTCCCGGTGCTCCGGGGGACGCTCGGTGCTGACCCCCCCCAGACCCTTTCCGGGGGGGCTGCGGGTCCCGGGCCGCCGGTGGCCACACGGTGCTGGCCCTGGGCCCGCTCTCCCGGGGCGGGTTGGGGGTCCTGGGGTCCCCTCGTGCGCCCGGGCCCTGCTGGGGGCGGTGTCGGTGGTCCCGGGGGCGGTGTCGGTGGTCCCCGGGCTGATGTCGGTGGTCCCGGGGCTGATGTCGGTGGTCCCGGGAGTGGCCAGCAGTCCCGTGGGTGATGTTAACAGCCGCAGGCCGCTGTCAGTAGCCCCAGGCCCATGTTAGTAGCCTCATGGAGGATCAGTAGCCCCAGGGTGATGTCACTAGCCCAGGGCCCCTGTCAGTAGCCCCATGGAGGATCAGTAGCCCCAGGCCCATGTCAGTAGCCCCATGGAGGGTCGGTAGCCCCAAGGCCGGTGTCAGTAGCCCCGCTGGTGGCTCGCAGTGCTGTTAGAGGTCAGCAGCCCCAGGTTGATGTTGGTAGCCCCAAGGCCGATGTCAGTAGCTCCATGAGTGCTCAGTACCCCAGGTTGATGTCAGTGGCCCCACTGGTGCCCAGCAATACCATGGGTGGTCAGTAGTCCCAGGCTGATGTCAGTAGCCCCATGGAGGGTCAGTAGCCCAAGGTTTTTGTCAGTAGCCCCATGAGAGCTCAGTAGCCCCCGTGCCCTCAGGGAGGAGCTGCTCGTGGGAGGGTGCTCAGGAGTGGTCAGTAGCCCCAGGACCCCTGTCGGTAGCCCCATGGACGGTCAGTAGCCCGAGGACCCGTGTTGGTAGCCCGAAGGTGATGTCAGTAGCCCCCGGGTGATGTCAGTAGCCCCAAGCTAATGTTGGTAGCCCCACTACTGGCCAGTAGTCCTGTTGGTGGTCAGTAGACCCAGGACCCCTGTCAGCAGCCCCAGGGTGATGTTGGTAGCCCCAGGACCCCTGTCAGTAGCTCCAGGCTGATGTTGGTAGCCCCAAGGCCAATGTCAGTAGCCCCATGGAGGATCAGCAGCCCCAGGCTGATGTTGGTAGCCCAGGACCCCTGTCAGTAGCCCAGGACCCCTGCCAGCAGCCCCCTGCCCCCCCAGGGAGGAGCTGCCGTGGGAGGGTGTTCAGCAGTGGTCAGTAGCCCCAGGACCCCTGTCAGCAGCCCCAGGGTGATGTTGGTAGCCCCAGGACCCCTGTCAGTAGCTCCAGGCTGATGTTGGTAGCCCCAAGGCCAATGTCAGTAGCCCCATGGAGGATCAGCAGCCCCAGGCTGATGTTGGTAGCCCAGGCCCCCTGTCAGTAGCCCAGGACCCCTGCCAGCAGCCCCCTGCCCCCCCAGGGAGGAGCTGCCGTGGGAGGGTGCTCAGCAGTGGTCAGTAGCCCCAGGACCCCTGTCAGTAGCCCCAGGAACAGTCAGTAGCCCTAGGGTGATGTCAGTAGCCCCATGGAGGGTCAGTAGCCCCAGGGGGATGTCAGTAGCCCAGGACCCCTGTCAGTAGCCCAGGACCCCTGTCAGTAGCCCCAGGACCCCTGTCAGCAGCCCAGGACCCCTGTCAGCAGCCCCAGGACCCCTGTCAGTAGCCCAGGACCCCTGTCAGTAGCCCCAGGCTGATGTTGGTAGCCCCAGGACCTCTGTCAGCAGCCCCAGGGGGATGTTGGTAGCCCCAGGACCCCTGCCAGTAGCCCAGGACCCCTGTCAGCAGCCCCCTGCCCCCAGGGAGGAGCTGCTGTGGGAGGGTGCTCAGCAGTGGTCAGTAGCCCAGGACCCCTGTCAGTAGCCCCAGGCTGATGTTGGTGGCCCCAGGACCCCTGTCAGCAGCCCCCTGCCCCCAGGGAGGAGCTGCCGTGGGAGGCTGCCGTGGCCAGCATGGCGGAGAACGACGTGGACAACGAGCTGCTGGACTACGAGGATGACGAGGTGGAGAACGCGGCGGGGCCGGACGGGGCCGAGGCGGCGCCCAAGAAGCCCCAGGACCCCTGTCAGTAGCTCCAGGCTGATGTTGGTAGCCCCAAGGCCAATGTCAGTAGCCCCATGGAGGATCAGCAGCCCCAGGCTGATGTTGGTAGCCCAGGACCCCTGTCAGTAGCCCAGGACCCCTGTCAGTAGCCCCAGGCTGATGTTGGTAGCCCCAGGACCTCTGTCAGCAGCCCCAGGGGGATGTTGGTAGCCCCGGGCCCCCTGCCAGTAGCCCAGGACCCCTGTCAGCAGCCCCCTGCCCCCAGGGAGGAGCTGCCGTGGGAGGCTGCCGTGGCCAGCATGGCGGAGAACGACGTGGACAACGAGCTGCTGGACTACGAGGATGACGAGGTGGAGAACGCGGCGGGGCCGGACGGGGCCGAGGCGGCGCCCAAGAAGGACGTGAAGGGCTCCTACGTGTCCATCCACAGCTCCGGCTTCCGCGACTTCCTGCTCAAACCCGAGCTGCTGCGCGCCATCGTGGACTGCGGCTTCGAGCACCCCTCCGAAGGTGGGGCTGGGGCTCTGGGGGGCGGGGGCTTTGGGGGGCTCTGTGACCGCTCAAACCCGAGCTGCTGCGCGCCATCGTGGACTGCGGCTTCGAGCACCCCTCCGAAGGTGGGCCGGGGGCTCTGGGGGGCTTTGGACTGCGGCTTTGAGCCCCCCTCCGAGGGTGGGTCTGGGGGCTCTGGGGCCATCCCAGGTGACTCTGGGACCATTCCAGGGTCTCGGGGAGCCTCTGGTGCCGTCCTAGGGGTGCTCTGGGAGTTTTTGGGATCCCGGCAGGGGGTTCTGGGGAACTCCTGGGGTCTCTGGAACCCTCCCAGAGGTCTCAGGATCCCTCTTGGGGGTGTCTCAGTACCCCTCCCGGGGGTCTCTGGGGGTCTCAGTGCCCCTGCCGGGGGTCTCGGTGCCCCTCCCGGGGGTCTCTGGGGGTCTCTGTGCCCCTCCCGGGGGTCTCTGGAGGTCTCGGTGCCCTTCCCAGGGATCTCAGTACACCTCTCAGGGGTCTCTGGGGGTCTCAGTGCCCCTCCCAGGGATCTCTGGGGGTCTCAGTGCCCCTCCCAGGGATCTCTGGGGGTCTCAGTGCCCCTCCTGGGGGTCTCCGCGGGTCTCGGTGCCCCTCCCGGGGGTCTGCGGGGGTCTCGGTGCCCCTCCCGGGGGTCTCGGTGCCCCTGCCGGGGGTCTCCGGGGGTCTCGGTGCCCGTGCCAGCCCGTGACCCCCTGCTTTCCCCGCAGTCCAGCACGAGTGCATCCCCCAGGCCATCCTGGGCATGGACGTGCTGTGCCAGGCCAAGTCTGGCATGGGCAAGACGGCCGTGTTCGTGCTGGCCACGCTGCAGCAGCTGGAGCCCGTCACGGGGCAGGTATGGGGGCTGGGCGGGGGTCCCGG